CACATAATGCAGCCAGTCATGAGAAGCGAGTGTTGGTAGCAAAAGCGCTGCATCAATCACATGAAGTAGGCTGACCATGGTGAGCATTAATAGCTAACAATAAGAGATACCCTTACACGTGAACTCATTCACACAGTAACTCAGCTCAGTGCATCTCAGTTGGGATGAGAAGAATAATGATTAGTTATGCAAATAGTGTTGGTAGCCTGAAGTGCCAAAAACCATGTTTTTTATTATTATTATTATTATTAATTTTTTTTTATATCCTTCTCTCTACCAAATCTGTTCACTCCACACTCCAGATCAGTAGGTGGCGGTAATGGCGGTAATGCACCTTTAAGTTGGTTTGCCAAAACCGCCAATAAACATCAGAAGAAGAAGAAGAAGAAGAAGAGGAGGAGCGTGGAGTGTTTTTTGGCCGTGCCAGTTTGTTTGATGCTGTTTTTTTTAGTGGTGGTTCGCTTGCTTGCTTGTTGTGTTCGACACAGAGAATGTCTTGTCTGACATAAACTTCACCAGCCCGGAGATAAAGGAAAGGGAAGTATGTCACGTGACTTACGTTGTGCAAACACGTAGAGTGACTTCTGTTAGACACACTAGGGAAAGGAGCGTGTGCAACCTCGTGTAAGTTTTGTTTTGTTAGTTGGTGAAGCTTTCGGTATAGCGTGTCGAACGCCGAAGATTTTTTCATTTTCTGGTTTTGTTTTCAGTTTAGAGGGTGGAGAATTAGTTAGTGAATGTTCTGCTTTTGTTATTTTCGTTTGTTTAGCACTGCTCATTTTCTTATTCTCCGAGGCTTTCCAAATTAGCCTTATTTTTCCTTTCTTTGTATACAGCTGTAAATAAGGGTTTTGGTTGGTGTGTTTTCATTTGTGTATATTATATTCCCTTTTGTAAATAAAGCGAACCACTTATTATGCCGGTTGTCCTTGTGTCATTCTCCCCCAGTACTCCCCAGTGACCAAAATTATAGGGTTGTGTTTACATTTTATTATGTATGTCTTCCTCATACCTCTATGCCACCAGGGGACTTAACACTGTTTAATGCCACTCAGCGGGTGTTGCATGCATCATCAGTCCAAAAGAAGTTAAATAAAAAGCGCCCATCCATAAAAAAAAAGTGTCTCACACGGCTCCGGGGGGTGAACAAAGGCCTCCTGTAGCGAATCTATGCGTTTTTGTAAGAAAAATATCCATATTCAAAACGTGAGTCTCGTGAAAACCAACGTTTGTTAACAGGAGCAAAGGAAGCAAAGTTTCCTTACTTTAGCGAAGGAAAACTAGTCTCCTCTTGGCTTATATCGAAATCCTCTGACATTCTTCTTTACAAATCCTCGTTTTGTACTCCTAGTAAGTGACCGGTGTTTTGTTTTGATCTCTCCCCTGTGCTTCCGTGTGCGTCACTTCTGAGTGGCGCATGCGCAAAGCTGACCTCATACGTCATCCGCCCGGAGCTGCTTCCGTGTAGGACTGTTGGCGCAAGCTAGATTAAAGTGATTATTACGTTTTGAATATGGATATTTTTCTTCTTCTTATTCACGCTACAGGAGGCCTTTGTTCACCCCCCGGTGAGGGAAGTGGGGCAGACAAATATTTACCGTTGCGCTACCTCCTATGGGCGGATGGCTGTGTGTATGAGCGCTCCATAACCATATTCCCTCTGTATTCGGAGTTTGGTTTTGGTTTTGGGAGCGCAGAGATTTTGGTAATTGTGGTTTACTGCAGTGTACTTTTGCTAAAGGGTAGACCAGTCACTGTTTCTTGTGTATTTAAGTTTGTGTGTGTGTGATTTTTGATTAGATTTTTTATTTAATTTCATTGCTGCAGAAAACATCCCCCAAACCACGACACTTCCTCCTCCAAAATCACGAAAGACAACTAAGGCCCCGATCAGACAGAACGTGTTTTTCAGGCTTGGTTTTTTTGGTTGACTTTTTTAATTAGAAAAGAGCAGTGCACTGAATTTTTTATGTTGCTAGGCAATCACTGAATCAGCTGTCCTGTCAGTCTAATCAAGGATTATTGCGCAAGCGCTCTAAAATCTTTTGTTTGCTGTTAAGTAAACTGTCATATTAGCAGAAACAAACAAAAAAAAATACAGCTCCTGGTAACTCGCAACAGCCACCACAAGTTTCTCCTCCATCATTGCAGTTTCCGGAAGTTCCAAGCAACTATAAATTTCTGTCACCACAATGTAAGGCCCGCCAGAGTTGATTTTTCCAGGCACTCAGAGCACTCCTACAAAAACGCGAGGGGCCCGGGTGCGAAAAACGCTCACTGCCAATAGAGAACTATTTTAAAAAGGCGCTTCTCACAGCAAAAAACGCGTTCTGTCTAATCAGGGCCTAATTCGGTAGGCCTAGTCGAGCACTGTTTCCTTGCGCACGGCACCCAAAGCAGAGATTGTCTTATTATTGGGAGATGAGAGCAGTGGCGTGCACAGACCTCTGGAGGGGCAGGCAAGTAGTGGCGTTACAAGGGCACAATCGCGGTCCAGGGGCACCTAGATCAGACCAAAAGGTCACTTTAGCGTCGGCAATTAAAGGGGCAGGGGCCCGAGGCCCCCCCACCTCCCATGCACACCACTGGATGAGAGGGTCTGTATTACTTACTATTGGAGAAAGTCTAATAAAGCAATGTTTCTAAGCAGCACTTCTTTGTTTACTGCGGTTATCGGGGAAAGAGTTCTATTTCTGCTGTTACATAAGCTCCACCTGCTGTCAGATAGTGGATTTACATTTTCTTTCCTTTTTTTTTGTTCAAACCAATGCGAAAATCGGATCGAATTTTTTTTGTAAATCTTAACTGGTAGATTGAAAACAAGCTAATATGTATTCTAAAAATCTCAACACTTTGGATAAGGTAGCCTATGTAGAATTGTTTATGGAGCAGCTGAAATGCCTATAATTTATGCTTTTGATCCTTTTCTTAAAAATGAGTTAAAGACTGAAATGTGAGGTTTATCATTTCATAAAACTTTTTTTATTTGGTCAAATCTTTAATTGAACATATAGTACATGTTAGTAGATAACATGTTGTAAGTCTCCCAACCAAGATTTTTTGTTTGTTTAAAATCGAGCCATCATTTTTAATATTAATATTTTAGTGTTTATGCAAACAAAAAGTGCATAGTGCTGCAAATTTTATTTGTTGTTTGTTGGTTTGATGATTTCATTGTGTGTATGAGTACTTTTTGAACATTTCCAACACATTTTAACAATACCATGATAATATTGATAACCATGATCATGTTAATTTGTTCATTTTTTACTGTTTACTTGTCTTTATATTAGGGGTGCTCCGACTGATCGGCTACCGATCATTATCGGCCGATAATCACGTTGGGATGTTTGATCGGCGGTCTCTAAAAAGGCCGATCTCAAGCTGATGACGCTGCCATGAGAGGTTTGGCACGACTTGCAGCGGCACCGTCTCAGTCTCTGTCCGGCGCGGGTGAAATCATTATAATGCTGAAGGTGAGGTTGCCCCTTTAATTGCCGACGCTAAAGTGACCTTTGGTCTGATCTAGGTGCCCCTGGACCACGATTGTGCCCTTGTAACGCCACTACTTGCCTGCCCCTCCAGAGGTCTGTGCACGCCACTGCTCTCATCTCCCAATAATAAGACAATCTCTGCTTTGGGTGCCGTGCGCAAGGAAACTAGGCCTACCGAATTAGGCCCTGATCAGAGCCATAGAAAGAGAGAGTTGCGTCAACGGAAGTCCAAAACGCTCGATCATCACGTGATTCACGTAGACCTCAAATAGTTCCAGGAAGTTCATAGCGGGCAATTGAAATACATTGAGTTGGAGAGACAGAACTGTGATTTTTGGTAATTAGTAGACAATAAAATAATTTATTTACATTATTTATAAAATAATGTATACATGTATACGTAGTATATATATGTAGTTATATCAGTGTTGTTTTTAAAAGATAAAATCTGCTACTATTTGAGGATTAATGTGGTCAGCTATCCTTACCTGCCTTGTTAACATATTTTAGGCTGAACTTACCATGATAAAAGTCCGTGTATGCTATATAAATGACATCGTGGTCTTCTGCCAAAGTAACTTCAGCCTCTCTATATAAATATAATTATATGTGTGTGTGTGTGTGTGTGTGTTCTTAAAACTTGCATGTTAGTCAAGTTCAATCACATCTTAATGTTCATTGTCGTTTTACTAATCTCATGGTAAATGTTAAGTTTGTTGTCTTCAATCGATTTATACATTTATAATAAACTATAAAGCATGTTGTGCTTGAACAGTCTGTTTGCTGTGCTGCATGGGAGTGCTCCAGTCACTCACAGAAAGGAGTGTGAATGTATGGTTTCCCTACTGATCTGGAGAAGAGAGAAAAAAATGGATGCATCAAGTTTGTTCAATTCACATTTATTTGTATAGCACTTTTTAACATACACATTGTTTCAAAGCAGCTTTACAGAAAATGAATGTTTCTACATTACGAATAAGAGTTCTGTTAACAGGTGTAACTGTCCCTGATTAGACAGAACGCGTTTTTTGCTGTGAGAAGCGCCTTTTTAAACCTTCATATTTCTTCATTAGATAACTTATAAAGTAATTTGAAAACATTGTGTGAGACGTAATTTCACAAACAGCGAGAGTGAATGACCGCGCACGCGCTCTCTCAAAATACGCAAATGGCTTCAAATCACCACATCGCGTCTGTCTATAGGTGAGCTGCACACTGCACAGTTGACACAGGAATTGTCACTTGCACAATCGAGGCAGTGTCACATCGTCACTAAAGTTTATAAATTGCATTACTTTTTAATTCTTGCCAGTGTTTAACCATTCAGCGCTCGCGTGCTCTCCTGGAGACCGTGCGCTCATGCACACTCGCAGCGCACACCCATAACGCCAGGTTCACATTACTCAGTTTGAAGTGCGTATGTGGTGCGTATTTTTTCCGCGCTCATGTTAACGGATTAATAAAGCGCACTATAAGATTTACATATACATTCATGCATTTGGCATATGCTTTTGTATCAGTGTATGGTATAAATCATTTGGAATCAAACTCATTACTTTGGCTTAGCTATTTGGCTTCTGCCAGGAGTCACCGCATGAATTAGCTTTGAAGAAGTAACAAATGGCCTATTATAAAGAAAAATATATATTTACCAATCAAAGTGTTTTGAAGGTAATATAACTTAGGGTTTTCAGTCTGTCATGTCCAGTTTCTCACTGTGTTTGTGGAAGGAATGCATTTACGTTTGCTGCTCTGGGTCCCGCTGATTCCCACCTCAACAGAAAGAAGTGTCACATTTCAGCATCTGGTTTTCATAGCCAATACAGGATGTTTTCGAAGTGCAATAAAGTAACAGCACTTTAGAATGAAACAGGATTGGTCTGGACACTTTTTGTTGAGGTCAGAACAAAAAACTCTTTTTTTAATTGAAGCAAAGAGGCAGTCCAGCCCACAAGAAAACACTGGAGAAAAGGCCATCTCATTGGAAGGTGCACATCCTTACACTTTCACATGTGGGACCGCTGCATACACCAAAATGATCTGGATCACTTTATTTCTGCATCTTCTTGCATCATCAGCTGTGGTGAGTGTTGTAAACATCTCCTTTCAGTCATCTGTAATTAATGTTAATATATTAATAAATCTTAAAAAAGTGTTTATTTAGATTCTTGCAATATTTGCTAGAATGCATTTATTTCATTCTTATTACAATAAAATACTTTAAGACAACATGTTGCTTATATAACAACTGGTAAAGGCCACTTGTTTAAGATAAATATATAATTCAATTTCATGTTAAATAATGCAATAAATCCTTTTTTTTTTTCATTTTTAATATTTTACAAATTATACTGCAAATGAATATTTTGTTGTATGATGCAACTTGTGAATATGTAATAATGTGTGGTATATTTTGTTTTTCTTAACAGAATACCTGCAGTACTCATCGCAATGATCCTGCTATATTGACTAGGGAGTCTGAGGATGTCTCTCTCCAAGGCCAAAAAGAGCATTATCACAGAGACGCAGGCAAAGACATGTGTAGTATGCCATGTGAAATGACTGCAAAGCTAATGCGTGATGAGAAACATTCCTTGTGCAGTAGGTGTTTCATTTCTTTTTCTTTCTTTTTTTTGCATAGTGTGATATTCTTCAATAATTTGCACATTCTTTACATTTACTCTGTCACTCTTTTAAACCCACTGCAGTTTTCACAGAGTTTAATGCAGGTTGTGTGTCTTAGGTAACCTCCAGCATACCATAGTGTCATATACAAGAAACACTAGGAAGTTGATCAGTGATCTCATTGATGAACAGCAGAAAGTTTTGGAATTTCTCTCAAGTCAGGTATTTTAAAATGTCCAAACTTCCAAACCGCATATCCTCTTCTGCATTCTAAAACATATTGCTTTGAATTCTTTGAAAACTTTTTTTTTTTTAATTCTTTTTCTAGATAATCGAGCTCATGGCCAAAGTAAACACACTCAGTTCAGATGTGCAGAGAAGCAACAGTGACATCTTTTCCGTGAAGCCCATGGAGTCCCACGGTGACATGATTAATGCTGTCAAACTTTCAGCAAAATATTTATCATCTATACATCCTCACAGTGAATTCCCTTTCATTCCACAGGGAAAGACTGTAGTGACATCCAAGAGACACTAGGTGTTGTGTCTCCAAAAATCCCTAGCGGAATTTATATAATTCAGCCAGAAAACACAGATGTTTCCTTTGAGGAAAGTACCTTCTTTTAGTTTTGTTTAAAAATTTCCAACCACAGTTATTTTAATCTAAAAGCAAATCAAACATGGTTTACACATGATGAATTGAGCATCTTAAACTGGAATCTAACAGGTGTTCTGTGAGATGGATTACATGGAGGGCGGATGGACAGTAATACAGAGACGGACGGATGGTCTCACTGACTTCAAACGAATGTGGTCACAGTACTTGGATGGATTTGGACACTTACCGGGTACAATAAATCAGTTAATGGGATAGTTCACTGAAAAATGAAAATTCTGTCATTTACTCACCCTCTTGTTGTTCCAAACTTGAATGAGTTTCTTTCTTCTGTTGAACACAAAAGAAGATATTTTGAAGAATGTTGGGTAACCAAACAGTTGCTATTAACCACTGACTTCCATAGCATGGAAAAAAAATACAAAAGTCAGTGGCCACCAGCAACTGTTTGGTTACCAACATTCTTCAAAATATATTCCTCTGTGCTCAATAGAGGAAAGCAACTCATACAGGTTTGGAATACTATGAAGAAGGGTAAATGGCAAAATTGTAATTTTTGGGTGAAATATCCCTTTAACTTCCAAATCAGATAATGTCTTAAATATGAATAAACCGGTATTGACTTTATCTATGTCTCTGAAGGTGAACACTGGTTGGGTTTGAGAAAAATCTTCAATATTGTGAATCAGAGAAACACACGTTTCCAGCTGCACGTGTCTCTGGTCTCACAAGATGACACCACCGCCTATGCTTCATATGACAATTTCTGGCTTGAAGACGAAACTAAATTCTTTGCAATACACCTTGGCAGATATGCTGGTAGTGCAGGTCAGGCAATAGCAAATATCATTGCCATAACACTAATTATAACTTCAAAATTAGCATGGAAAATGCAAATAATGTCCACGTATTCCATCTGGGCCTGCTGATGATTGAAGGGATAGTTCACCCAATAATGAAAATTTTGTCATTAATTACGTACCGGAAGCGTCTGTATATTCTGGTTTGAATAAGTAAGGCTGGGCAAAAAGAATGCAAGTCCTTCTCAATTTCAGACATGATTACAAATATTACAGTAGTGCTCCTCTTCTTTTGCTTGCAAACAGTGCAAGCAAACACTGCTTCTGCTACGGGTTGTATCTCTCACGTCAACACAACACGCATGCGTCTTAGGGGACTGGAACAACTTGAGGGTGAGTAATTAATGACAGAATTTTCATTTTTGGTGAACTATCCCTTTAATTTAGGAGTTGCACAGTATAGAAACCTACTGACAATCAGTATTAAATATGTCAATAAGATTTCTCTTTCTGCAGGTGATGCTTTTCGAGGGTATGACCAAGAGCAGAATCAAGACATGGTCCCTTTCAGTACCTCTGACGTTGACAATGACGGTTGTTCTCCATTCTGCAATTTTGCTGATAAAGCTGTTGAGAGCTGCAGTGTGAACCAAAACAACACAGGATGGTGGTTTAACCGGTGTGGCAAGGCAAATTTGAATGGCTCACCATTGGACCAAGATCTCTCCAACCAGTCACATATCCACTGGGACACCTGGACCAAAAATGGCACGCTTGTCAAAATCAAATCAGTGACTATGAAGATCAGAAGAGTTGAGATCTCGAATTCAAAATAAATCCCTGAAGTTTCTGAAGATTTTGTATTAAAATGGAAAAACGTATCATTTGGAATCACTAAAAACTTGCACTTCTGCCCTGTGAGCTTCTCTAACAAAGCAAATTGTAGGAATAAACCTTTTGGCATTTAGTCCACCATGTTTTTTAAATCCTGGGTCACAGCCCAAAATATTCATACTAATTTTTCATTGTTATGACTAATGGGAATTGTGTCATTACTGCTGGTAATACACTGGTAATTCCCAGGAGCACATTTCCTCAATTGACTGTTTGTATGAGATTTTACTCAAATCAAAGCCTGTTTCTGCCACTTTCTGAAAAAAAAAAATAAAAAAGGTAATTGTTAGATAAAGTTTAAAGTTTTCAAAATAAAGTAACACTGTGAAATGAAAGTTACAGTTATGAGAAATAAAGTCACAATTCCAAGATATGAAGTCACAATCATGATAAAGTCCTGAGAGTTATGGAGGTTATTAAAGTTCACTGAAACTGAAATGGAAATGAAATGCCACAAAAAAAAAAAAAAAAAATTCCAAAAGACAAATATAAACTGAAACTACCATGCATTGCTTCAAAACAGACTTAATTGAAATAGAAATTATGCTAAAATACTTTCAGTCTTCGATTTTTAATACTTTGCTCTACAGTGGCATGACTAGATGGGTGGCATGAAGTGGCCCCAACCACTCCTAATATGTAATAGGCCACCCTAAGTGCCATCGGAAAGTTCTATACTACAAATGGCCACCTCCTAAGACAGGTAGGTCCTTTAATCAAGCCATAACCTCTTTGATTTAAATAAAGCAGACAAGGATTGATAGTGAAGAGGTATTCAGTGACTGATACCAGAAATACCATTATAGCATCTTATTTATAAACTAAATGGGGCTTTTAATGAATGTCAGTTTAGTTGCACTCTTTGTATGGCAGAATTAAATTATGATAGAAGCTCAACAAAGTCTAAAATACCATCAACGAGTAACGCCACCTTCATTTGAACAAGTATTAGAGATCATCAGAGGACACACATTTGTCCATAAATCCATCAAATGTGGGTAAAGTTGTTATGTTTTAAGTAATCGGGACTGAAAAAGAAATAATTTTAACAAAACTAGACAAACTTGTCCCTTGCCAAGTAATTTACTTGTGTGAGAAATGAAATAGAAATAAAAACTAAAAACTAAAATACGAACTAACAAACTAAACTAACAGACTCAGACTGCAATAACTGAAAAAAAAAACCTAACAAATAATTTGAAATTCAAATAAAAACATAAACTAAATTAAAAACCCAAAACTATATAGTATCTAGAGTAATAGTCGCAATTCCAAGATCCAATCACACTGTGACATATAAAGTCAGTTTGAGAGATTTAAAGTCGTAATTACAGAAACAAAGTTAATTGCCTAATATAAATTCACATTGTTGGATATATAGTAGAAACAGGTGTGTTCCTAAAAATATTTACTAAGCTCTCTCTTAGACTGCATACATTAAGATTAATAAAAAAAAGTTTTTATGTTCTGACAAATAAAAACTTTTAGGTGACCAGGCACTTTGAAATAAGAGTGAACAGCAGTGTCGCCATTGACGTGGGTGGCCTATTGTTTGTCCTGATTCATTGGCAGGACAGAGATAATTAACACGCTTTAAATAAGCTGCGTAGTGTGTGGCCGCTATTAGCATCACTGTCCTTGGGTAAATATGTCAGTTATGTGTGTATATGTTAAACCATCTGTACTATGTCTATTTAGAGCAAAGAATCCTGCCAAATTTTGTCCTGCCAAAGACTAAACAAAAAGTCCAGTTCTGCTGAAGCGTTTCGTGAGCAGGACCTTGCCCTGGGCCTATGTGGGAGTCATCGTGAGAGAGTGCAGGGAAACCAGATAACACTGACTGAACACCATGCTATCAACATGAGAATTTGGGATCTAGTGCGCAAAAGGGATGATTATTTTAAAGGAGACATGGACAACGGTAATGTCTTCACTCAGACATAAAACTCTGCAATGTTTTACAAAGTTTCCTCCCTACACTGTAAAAATGTATTTTTTAAATAAATGTTTTCATTCTGAAATCATTGTTATGATGTCACAACCATGAACACATTCTGGGGCATCCTGCACCTATTTTTTATTTTATTATTATTATTTTTTGGACATTGCACCGGTCAGAGTTTTGCCTTCTTTCCTTGATATGAGCAAAGAAAAAAAAAAACATTTAAAAAACCATAACTTTTAAGTGTAAGGTATGGTACACATAAACGTAATATATTTTTTAAAATAAGTTTAAAATTATTTCTAAAAATGTTTTTATTATATTCTTTATTATATTATATTTATTTTTAAAAAAAAAGTTCAATCATGACAACTCTCGGAACATTTTAGCATGGTGATGGATATGACAAGTAGCTAGGTGAATGCCTATTTTACTCTAAAATGGTGTCTACGCCAGACACGGGCGGCACAATATGACCAAATCAATAGACCCGTAACGATAGGTAAAGCGGTCTGTAATGTATGCAGTGCGATATGGCCAATGCAACAAAACTTCTGCTACTGCTGCTATTGATAATAATCACTAACATTTCAATACGGAGTTGAAGTACATGCTGTTGCTGTTAATGATGGAATAACTATGCATACTGCTGCACAAAAGTACTTAGAATTACTACTGCCCATTTATTAAATAACCAAACAACCAAATAATGCCTATTAACATTGCATCTGAATTTTGCCATGCGTGCTGCTGCTATTAAAATTCACTAAACTAGTGATCTGAATAGCTATGCAATGCATAATGCTGCTATAGCTGCACAAAAGTTCTTAGAATTGCTATAAGTGTCTTTATTAACAAGCATACGCAATCAAATAATGCCTATTTTGCTTTGAAAAGTTCACAATCTACTGTAAGCCCTGCAAATTGTTATAAGCCCCTTTTAAATAAACAAAATGCAAATTATGCCTATTCGCTTGGAGAGTTCACATACCATCCATTTTAAGTCACTGAAACTTCAGCAATTGTAAGTCGCTTTG